ATTTCTTACATAATAAACATCCTTCACCATATTCTTTTGCTAATACGAGAATGCCAAGAAGTTAGTCACCACTCACTACGACTAGTTTCAATAGAATAATGAGAGCTAATATTTCTGATTTATTAAATGACACGAATGTCTAAGCAAACCAGCTGTTAATCTTCTAACAGAAACAAAAGTGTAACCAGATGATACTTGCTGTATAACAGTTCCATATATGGTATAACATTATGTCATTAATTAAGAGTTACATTACTTTCTGCTATTTATTTTATTTTCCATTTCTACGATTGTTGTAACTTCCCTCTCAAGGTCTTATTGTTATTACTGAACATTCTCATTCCCGTCCCACCAAAAATGCTCGCCCTTTCAGCCGTAGGGGCGTTATAACGTGACGGTCAATCCCACTATTCGTTGGTAAAAGAGTAGCCCAAGAGTTGGCGGTGGGTGGTGATAAATAACTGTCTTCCCTCTAGTCTTACACTGCTAAATTAGGGACGGCTAGCGCAGATAGCCCTCGTGTAGCTTTGGGCGAAATTCAAAAACAAACAAACTATAGCTCTCCAGAACAGGCTCCAGATACTGGCTGACTGCTTTAATAGGTTATTACAGGGTACCAAATATCTTTATGTTGCCGAAACTCTTTGCCACACTGTCACTAAGTTCATGTTCATGTGAACATTCGGCATCTGCTCTCCGCCTGTTGAATAATTACCTGAAGTGTACACAAACCGAAGAAAGACTGAGTGCTCTAGCTTTAATACATAAGTATTATGACACTGGTATCAACACTGAAACCGTATTTAAGTTATTTACGGAAAAGCATCCCAGAATAATAGAGTATGTTCACAAGTTATTTCAGTAGTGCATGCATGTACGTATATGATAGCTAATGATTGAAATAGCTAATATACTATTGTTGTACACAGTTGTTTAAATTACTTATATGATTTAACAATCAATAACTACTCTGTATGTAGATAATACAGTATTTTACTATAATAAACATACATATTTATGTTCATTTAGGTCTAGCTTCTCATGCAGTGTCACAACAGAATGATGATTTGTTTACTTTTCATTGGATGTTTGTGGATTTTATGTGAACAGTTTTAGCTATATTTAATGCAAAATTGCTTCCAGATTTAATCTCATAGCATCTATTTTTTACAACTTTTATGGGGAGCATGCTCTCAGACCCCCGTAGCATTAGCATGCTTTGCATGATGATTGTGCTTTGCCCAATATGTGTTCGCTTTTGATCTCACAAATTAGAACCCTCTTTAAAACATTGTGCGTACGGGTCTTTACACAGTAACATGTGGCGTAGCATTCATCTCAAATATCAGGCTCCTCTGAAGTTGCACTGTCAGAACATATAATGGTTTTTCGTTGGTCAGGAAACGTTTTTAAGGAGGATTGTGGGAAGTTTTGCTTATACGTGATTATACTGACGCTAAGTTGTTCAATGAGCATTAAATCTATAACAGAAGTAAAAAAACCGAAAATTTCGTGACAGGAATTTAGTTCTTAAAGGAAAGAAATTTTCCTAAACTGGGGTATTCAGGGATATTAGTATCCCTCTTCGCCCCGCTCACGATAATTTATTTGTTACATTCGTGAGTTATTTAATTTTAGCTAGAGAGGTTGATATATCTTGTCTTCTGGCGAATTTAAAGTCTTGAGGTTGGATTTGTTTGTTTGTTTTAAGTTATGCACAAAGCTACACAATGGGATATCTGTGCTCTGCCCACCACGGGTATCGAAACCGGGTTCTAGTGTTGTAAGTCCGAAGACATACCGCTGTGCCACTAGGGGGCCTTGAGGTTGGAGAATAGAGAGATGAGAAATACATGTCCAGAGGGTTCCAGGGCAGAGAGAAGACAAAGACCGATGACGTCTATAACAGAACTTGAAGCTAACAGCTGGTTTTATGTGTTCTGTCCGTAAGTAAGATATACTCTATTATTTTTTTATGTTGCTTTCATTGATAGTATTGATTAGGATGTTCAAAATATTTAATGTAATTTTATATAGCTATACTTTTATTATAGAGATTGTTTTGCAATGTTAACTTAGTATATGGACTTAGGATTAACTCAGATCTCCTAAGCTGGTCGAGCCTCGTGAGATATTATTGGGTTCACGGCCGAAAATATCGTTAACGGTGAGAATACCCAAATGATAAAAAGAACGTAAGAATGGTATACTTAATTAGTTATACTCATTGCCAAGTTGATTTTGAGTTTTACTTGAAGTAGGTAGCTTGCTCTGATGGAAAGTTAATATTAATAACAACATTTAGTATTTGTTTGTTTATTTGTAGTTAAGCACAACACTACACAATGGGCGTGCTCTGCCCACCACAGGTATCTAAACCCGGTTTCTAGTGTGATAAATCAGCAGACATATCACTGTGCCACTGAGGGGCTACATTATTAAAAATAATTATAAGTAAACATTGTTTTCTTTGTACGAAGTTTAACATTGTTATTTTTTCATGGACGATTCAGGTATTGTTCTAATTTCCTATTCATTATTTTGTATCTTCGTTAAAATTACATTTTGATTGTACTTTATATAAAATAAACCAATTAACTCGACAATATGTAAACAGGAACATGAGTCGTCATAAATATTTCAATGTTACCATTTTCCTTTAAAATTACACTACTGAATGAGTGGCTTATGTTTTTCAAAGAAAATTAATTCTACGACAGTAATTCAAGACAACATTCGGGTTTCTGTGTTCTCTAAATAAAGTATACTGTATTATTTAATTAAAAGTATTAATTAGACTGTTTAAAATATCGAGTGTTATTGCTTTTTTATTCTATTTGTTGTTATTATACTTTTACTATAGAGATTGTTTTGCATTGTTAACTTAATATATATGTATGTATTTAGGACTAACCTAAATCTCCTAAGCTGGCCGAACCTCGTGAGATATTATTGGGATTACGGCCGAAAGTATCGTTGACAGCGAAAGTATTCAACTGTGAAACAATGCATTCTAATCTTTATAAATAAAAACAAAAGTAAAATATATGTAACTAGCATACTGATTGCAAGGTTGATTTTTAGTTTCGCTCTAAATAAATAGCTTGCTCTTATCGGAAGTTAATATTAAAAGAGTGGAAGTACTCGTAAATATTACAGTTTTCATAAGGACATTCAATAATAATAATAATAATTAATATCTTATTTTAAGAAAATCGAAAACAAAAAATTGAAAAATCAAAACTTATAGCACGATAAATGGCTAATGCGAAATACATGTTTTAATATTCACAACGTTTCGAGCTGGGACGCTCTTCCTCTGGTGATTAAAAAAAAATCTGCAGAGAACGGGCATCCCATCCCGAAACGTTGTGAATATTAAAACATATATTTTGCATTAATCATTTTTCGTGGTATAAGTCTTTATTTTTTTATTTTTTTGTACCACAGCAGTTTTTTTAGCTGATCTTTATTTTGAGAAAACATCTTTCATTAGTTGATGCCAAAAATAAGTCCAGTATTATAAGGATTATTATTTTGTTATTAAGAACAAAGCTACACAATGGCTTATCTGTGCTGTACCCATTGCGAATATTGAAATATGATTTGTAGCGTTTAAAGACACCATTCTTACCGCTGAGTGCCCCCCAGTGGCACAGCGGTATGTCTGCAGACTTACAACGCTAGAAACCGGGTTTCGATACCCGTGGTGGGCAGAGCACAGATAGCCCTTGTGTAGCTTTGTGCATAATTAAAAACAAACAAACAAATTTACCGCTGAGCAACAGGAAGCTAAGGATAATAATTCGATGACGAGGAACCCACTTTGAGACTAATAATGGCTGGAGACGGCTTGAATGGGTAATGAAGAACA